TTGGTTTTTTAACATAGTGCACAGTACTGCCAATTTTTAGGAAACCACTGTAGATGACATTTTAAATGTTTAAACACTGCCATCAAGAATGAATATATTACAGATTTATATATTGCCCTGGTTTTATTATCCTGCATTTGATGAAATGAAGGTTGTTTCAGTGTGTTCAACAGTATAACTTGGAAACTGTTTAATATATCTTTGTGAAACTTTGGATGCATGTCAGGCATTTGCTGGACTGGTGTCTTTGAAAGACAAATCTGACAAATATCATACTATTCTACATATTTCTAATTTTTCCTGACATTTATAATGGACAGCGATGAATTGGGTTTGTTCCGAAACATTACCATGATTGGTTTTGAACATAACTTATCATGAATGAGAGTCATGGGAAATCACTTTTCTGTTTTCTTAATTTGTATTAATACGATGATGATTTCAACAGTGTGACTTTAATGGATTCTGATGCAGAATAGATCCTTTGTGCTCCATGTCTGTTTCCCTGTAGGGATTGCGGGGCAGAATTGGTCCTCAGTGCCCGATGCTAGTCTCGGTCTGGGTATTCCAGATCAGAATACGTCCCTAGTACCCCATGGTTGTCTCCTTGCGGGTATTCAAGGTCAGAACAGATCCTCAGTACCCCATACTTGTCTCCCTGTTGGAATTCCAGGTCAGAATAGGTCCCCAGTACCCCATACTTGTTTCCCTATTGAAATTCCAGGTCAGAACAGGTCTCCAGTACCCCATAATTGTCTCCCTGTGTGGATTCCTGGTCAGAATAGGTCCCCAGTACCCCATACTTGTCTCCCTGTGTGGATTCCTGGTCAGAACAGGTCCCCAGTACCCCATACTTGTCTCCCTGTGTGGATTCCTGGTCAGAATAGGTCCCCAGTACCCCATACTTGTCTCCCTATTGAAATTCCAGGTCAGAACAGGTCTCCAGTACCCCATAATTGTCTCCCTATTGAAATTCCAGGTCAGAACAGGTCTCCAGTACCCCATACTTGTCTCCCTATTGAAATTCCAGGTCAGAATAGGTCCCCAGTACCCCATACTTGTCTCCCTATTGAAATTCCAGGTCAGAATAGGTCCCCAGTACCATACTTGTCTCCCTGTGTGGATTCCTGGTCAGAACAGGTCCTCAGTACCCCATACTTGTCTCCCTATTGAAATTCCAGGTCAGAATAGGTCTCCAGTACCCCATACTTGTCTCCCTATTGAAATTCCTGGTCAGAACAGGTCCCCAGTACCCCATACTTGTCTCCCTGTGTGGATTCCTGGTCAGAATAGGTCCCCAGTACCCCATACTACTCCCTGTGTGGATTCCTGGTCAGAATAGGTCCCCAGTACCCCATACTTGTCTCCCTATTGAAATTCCAGGTCAGAAAAGGTCCTCAGTACCCCATACTTGTCTCCCTGTGTGGATTCCTGGTCAGAATAGGTCCCCAGTACCCCATACTTGTCTCCCTGTGTGGATTCCTGGTCAGAATAGGTCCCCAGTACCCCATACTTGTCTCCCTATTGAAATTCCAGGTCAGAACAGGTCCTCAGTACCCCATACTTGTCTCCCTGTGTGGATTCCAGGTCAGAATAGGTCCCCAGTACCCCATACTTGTCTCCCTGTGTCGATTCCTGGTCAGAATAGGTCCCCAGTACCCCATACTTGTCTCCCTGTGTGGATTCCAGGTCAGAATAGGTCCCCAGTACCCCATACTTGTCTCCCTGTGTGGATTCCTGGTCAGAACAGGTCCCCAGTACCCCATACTTGTCTCCCTATTGAAATTCCAGGTCAGAATAGGTCCCCAGTGCCATACTTGTCTCCCTGTAGGAAAGAAGTACCCTGATAGAATGGACTATTGCCTATATTATCAAGCACCTGTTGACCCATGTCACTAACACTGTGACTGACATACTGGATCAATCATCATGATCCTGGTGATAAGGGGAGGTTCTGACAGAACTGTAACAACATCCCTATTGACATTGAGGTGGTTGAAGGACATCGAGCCGATCCAAGCATGGAGCTGTCAGGGCTGACCAGACCTTAGCGACTCCACCTTAGATCTGGATAATCACATGATCATTGATCAGTGAGCCTCTTATGGGGATTGATTGGAAACTTCTGAGCCTAATACATGTATAGAACAGACAACAAAACTACCTTTATTAATGTATTTCTGAATGGGAAGGCAGTTATTCCAGACCCCTTTGCTTTGTTTCTCAGTGTTCCTGTTTACTGGTAATTACCTGGGTTTTTTTACTGGTAAAATTAGGTTTGGACAGGTAATTCATGTGACTGTCAGTCCCTGTGGACCGGCAAATAAAGTACCTTATAAATCTTTGATATTCATATAAGTATATTTTTCAAACAAAGTCAGCTTATCTGTTACCATCAGGGTTTTCCCTTATCGATTTTTAGTGCAAGGAAATAACATTTCTCTTTGCTTCAAGGTTAAAAATATGTTTGTAGTGAAATCTTCAAAAATATAGGAGAAAATTTCATCCGAACTTTGTGTGAATGATTAGTAGATCTAACTAAGTTACTTCAGAGATGACGTCATTATATTGAACATTTTGTTGAAAGAATTATAAACAGGTAATTTTCATACATTTTTTTATTTGTTGAAAGTTGAGATTGACAAAAGTTAGGGGGACTGGTAATTTTTAGAGTTGCCAGTCCTGGTGGACTTAATCCTAGTGGACTGCCAGGGCTGTCAGTTTCAAAAGCCAGCGGGAACACTGTTTCTCTTTCTACACCATAAATTCTCATCACTAATCATGTTAGATGGCAATATCTTTTCATAAAACTTGCTTGTAAAGCGTGGTACATGTAGTACAGATGAATTGCTATTACAAATTATTCTGTCCTGTTAGCTGAGTATGGCATTAAACAACAACATGCACACATGATAAGCACAAGAACATTACACTGATATTATTCTGCCTCACACCTCTACACAGCCACATTACACAGGACTGCCTCCGTGGTCTAGTCGTAGAACGCCGGAGAGCGGAAGGTCCGGAGTTCGATCCCCAACCGCGTCATACCAAAAGATGTTAAAAGATGGTACTTGTTGTTACCCTGTCTGGCACTCAGCATAAAGGGGCTAAAACAAGGACTGGTCGGTTCGGAGTCAGTATACTGTGTCTGAGTGGGGTATTGATGTTAAACTGCGGCATGGTATCTCAGTGAGCTAGCACTATTAATCGTCATCAGTCCGAACAAGTACAAGCAGTCACACACACACACACGGTGTGCGAAGTCCATTTGTGGTGTCCTCTGGGATATTGCTGAAATATTGCCGAAAGCGGCGTAAAACCCGACTCACTCACTCACTCAGTTACCTTGACTGTACCTGGTAAACAATGTCTTGGCACTGCTTTTTAAAACCTTTAATACCATGTAACTTGCCTTTAGAACTGTTTGGATCAAATCTTTCCAATTCCTGCAGTTATTTTCTAAATAATCCTGAAATGTTTTAGCATATTTGTTTTAGGAATTTCATCAAAGATGTTTTTTATAACACAATGTTCATGAAGCACTCCTTGGCATTCTCGAAGAAATTGCTAATTGAAAGGCAACTATGCTTGTCGTAAGAGGCGCCTGGCGGGATCAGGTGTTCAGGCTCGCTGACTTGGTTTTTATGAATGTCATCGTGCCCCAATTAAGGGGATCAATGTTCATGATTTCAATCACTGGATTGTCTGGTCCACACTCAGTTATTTATAGACCGCTGTCACGCAGCTGGTATATTGCTGAGTGCGGCGTTAAACAACAAACAAGCATGCGGGTGTGTGGAAAGATGAATGTTTTCACTTGTCATTGGCTATGATTTTCCCTCACCCATGTCATGGTGTCAATGATGTCAGAACTGGTTGTTCAGTTAAGCCTCAAAGCTGCCCTACATTCATCATTTTTGTGACACTTTCCCATTTATGTTATATGAAAAAAAAAGTGAATTTATAAATGATGGGCTATCATATGTGTGTCCATGTCATACAATTTTTGACCTTCATGTCATATTCTGTATTCAGTGTGTTCAACAGATGAGGCAGCTCTCGTCATGCTCACGGAACCATGTTTATGTTATATCCTGCTATACATGACTGCTATGTCCTGCTTGCCTCACCACTATTGCTTGAGGGGCGGTGGGGTAGTCTGGTGGTTAAAGCGTTCGCTCGTCATGCCGAAGACCCGGGTTCAATTCTCCACATGGGTACAATGTGTAAAGCCCATTTGTGGTGTCCCCCTGCTGTGATATTGCTGGAATATTGAATAAAGCGGCATAAAACCATACTCACTCACTACTATTGCTGGAGACTGGGTCGTTCACCTGATGAAGGAGTAGAAAGACACAGTTGCAGTAAACATAAAAAATAATGTAGAAATTCTACCTATTTTGACACATCATAAAAAATAACATTAGCTTGTAACCCAACATGACTAAGAAATCATCCATAACTTATGAAAAGGTTTTTAAGACTTTGATGCCTAAAATGAGATACCTTTATTCCGTAAGCTGATAACTGTGAAATTTTATAAGCATGATAAGGGGACAAATATCATCATTATATATTCCTCATTCATATTGTACCATGTTGTAACTCATTAGCATTGATGTGTGAGGGGGTGCACGGGTGGCCCAGTCGTCTAAGGTGCCATGATTAGCTGTGCAGAGTTGCGTCCCTTGGGCACGCCAGAAACCAATGATTGTGGGTTCGAATCCCGGTTCGCCCCGATTATGTTCCCATGTTTGTCAGCACCATACAGGTGCTCGTGGGTTTCACCGAAGTGGTAAACGTCTGAGACCTGCATCACTTCAGGATTTCCTCCCACATTAAGCTGACTTGCTGTGATATAACTGGAATACTGTTAAAATCGGCGTTAAACCCAACTCACTCACTCTCATTGATGTGTGAGGCTGCATTATTCTGTCAGCGATGGTGTTTCTTTCTGATGTAATTTCCCCTCAGTGTCCATTGTTTGTTTGTTCCAGGCCCCGCCCGATGCTGCTGGCAAGCGGGAGGAGGAGGAGGAGGAGCCGGCGTTGCCCCCAGATCTGTCCGGAGATAAGCTAGCCCAAGCCTCCGACAAGACAACCGAAGCTCTCGATTCAGCCCTCAAAGATCTCACTCCAAGGTGACAGACAACCCATGAAGATACTATGTACAATATATGGTCAAAAGGAATTGTCTCTACAGTTTCACATCTTGGGGATTCCAAGACCAAATAAGTCATAGATACTCCAAGCTTCTTGTAAGAGCTGACTGTGGATCTGATGGTTACTGTTGTTACATATGTGATCACTGTCCTGGCAGATTGTCCTGTCATCATACCCTGATGTCATAGATATGTGCTCAGGCTATCAACCACTGGTTCAGACTTTATTACTTACCATGCTTACAGGTGCCACAGGTTGAATATTGCTGACTGCAGCGTATTCATATGTTCATTCATTTATGGGGCAGTGGGGTAGCCCTAATGTTAAGGTTATCTCTCATGGAGTTTGATTCCCAGCATTGGTACAACTACAACCTGTAATTCCCCTTCTTGTTGCCTCTCACGATATTGGTGGAATATGAAACAGCACTCCCTCACTCACTCTATGGTTAATTCATTGTGTCTAAATAAAATCTGGATTTGTTGCAAGTGCCAAGAGTGGGATGGAGTGTCCTTTCTAGAGAAACTAGACAGTTGTCTGTCAAACTTGTTGAATAAGACCATGTTTGTGTTTCAGATGGAGGAACTGGGTGATACGAGGTATTTTCACATGGTTGATGATCTTCGCATTTGCATTCATCATCTACCTTGGACCTCTCGCGCTGGTTCTATTGGTGTGTATAACTTTAAGATGATTTGAAGGGAGTGTCAACATTATAACTCAGGCTATCAGAACTAGCTCTGTATAGCAGTAATATTTATTATCTAGAGAATTCTGTATTGCCAATATGTATCATTTGGTTGATATAGCAGAAGTAATTAACAATTCTAAGCTCTTATTTGAACAATCAAGATTTATTAAATTGATTGTGAAATGATCCAGGCTCATGTTTGCAATTTTGAATGTAGATATGGAGATCACCATCTCACTCACAGTAACGTGGTCAAGATGAGTGATGATTAAAATACTGTTCAAAGTGGCATAAAGCCCAACTCACTCACTCACTCAAATGTTTTAGTTTACCACCACATCTTCCCTCTTCAGATTACAGCGTTTAGTATGATCAATGTGCTCCAATGAAACGAGAGACATTAATATTGATAGAAGTGATCAGTTTCATTCAGTGGGTGGTGATATTCCCCTCGAAATCAATATGGCTGCCATAAGCCATGAGAGCAGAAGTACATCTGTTGCCTGTGCATTGTAATAAGGTCAGTTTACATGCGTTATGTCCAAAACATTTCAATAAGGATTTATCTAGAACTGCTCAGAGGCCAATAGTTGACACCAAATCTGCAACTTCTCTTTTTGGACTTATAGTTATAGTTATGATCATAAGCAGTGTTGTGGCTTTGTAGAGCTGACTTGCATTTCACTAATAACAAGACCAGTAAAGAGGACTGAAAAGGCTTTAGTTCTTAGTTTTACACTATTGCATTGAATCCAATGTTAAAATACCCTCTTAATTTGAGAAAATAAGAACAAAAATCCCTGTGAGAAAAATTATGAGTTTTTCCTAGTTTTCCTGCCAATGGTACTTTGTTTGGATTCATAGATAAATCTGTGTAAGTTTAAAAGAATAGTTCCTGAAAATATTAATATTATTTGATCTAGCCACCAACCTCAACCAAACCTCAATCCAACCAAACCTCAACCAAACCTCAATCCAACCCAACATCCACCAGACATCAACCATACCTTAATCCAACCATACTCCAAGATGTACATCATTTTGGACTGTTTAAAGTTTAAAGTCACTCACTCACTCACTCACTCGCCTCACTCGCGTCACTCTCGTCACTCGCCTCACTCACTCACCTCACTCACCTCACTCACTCACTCACTCACCTCACTCACCTCACTCACCTCACTCACCTCACTCACTCACCTCACTCACTCACCTCACTCACTCACTCACTCACCGGTGCCAATATTTCAGTAGAGAGCCTATTTCAATTGAGAACCCCGGCAGCGTCATACCAAAAGATGTTATAAGATGGAGCTTGGCATGAAGGGGCTAAAACAAGGACTGGTCGGCTCGGAGTCAGTATACTGTGTCTGAGTGGGGGAGGGTGCGTTAGTCTGTGTGTCCACATCCTCGTCTATGTCATGTCTATGTCAAGATGTACCTCTCCCCTATGTATAATATCTTCTGTAATTGTGAGTGAAGTAAGATACACTACAATACAATTACTTCGTCTATACTGTCTGGCATGGCTGATCAGTGTCTATAATAAAATTAGATCACCTGTCTTCCTTGCAAGGAAAAGTTTTAATGGTCAGATTGATCTGAGCTAATCACTCAAGTCAGTAGACAAGAATAGTGTTGCACTGACAACTAGTGTTAATAACATTGTTAATTACTCATCCAGTTAATTAACTCAGGTGTTGTTATACTTGTTGAGGAAGACTGTTATGGTTGCAGCAGTAACAAAGCAGGCTTCAGTTAGCTTCCAGACCCGTGAAGTTTGGGGGTAGAATAGGTCTTCAGCAACCCAGGCTTGCCGTTAATGGTGACTATGCTTGTAAGAGGCGACTAACAGGATTGGGTGGTCAGTCTTGCAGACTTGGTTGATGCATGTCATCGTATCCTAATTGCATGGATCGATGTTCATGTCAATCACTGGATTGTCTTGTCCAGACTCGATTATTTACAGACCACTGTCGATAGCTGTTATATTGCTGAGTGCTTCTTTAAACAACAAACATACAAACAGTTAGCTTCCATGAGAGTCTGTTCAGCTCACACTTGTCATTTTGGTTATGGTTTATATAATATTCTCAGGCCACTGCTTTTAAGAAATACAGTTTGAGATGAGTGAGTGAGTGAGTTTGGTTTAACGCCGCTTTTAACAGTTTTCCAGTTATATCACGGCATGTCAGCTTAATGTGGGAGGAAAGCCCGAAGTGATGCAGGTCTCAGACGTTTACCACTTCGGTGAAACCCACGAGCACGGGTATGGTGCTGACGAACCTAGAAACATAATCGGGGCGAACCAGGATTCAAACCCACAATCATAGGTTTCTGGCAACGTGCCCAAGGGACGCAACTCTGCACAGCGAATCGCGGCGCCTTAGACGACTGGGCCACCCGTGCCCCCCAGTTTGAGATGAACTGTTGTATACAGGTATAAGTTTTTTGTTTTCATTTTGATCACAGTATGACATGCACATGGTCTCTAAGATATGAACCGCCACTGTGATGTAGTGGATAGAGTGCCTTCCCAGAGAGCAGAAGGTGAAAGTTTGGTCCAAACGTACCGAACGACTGGTACTTGTTGTTTCCCTGCCTGGCACGTGGCATTAAGAGGATAACACAAGGACTGTCTGGCTCGGAGTCAGTATACTGTGTCTGAGTGGGGTATTCATGTTAAACTGAAGCATGGCATCTCCGTGGGCTAGCACTATAAAACTGGCATTATGCATGTATGCACTCACACCAAACATTGCTATATTAGAACAATAATCTTGAATGTGACGTTAAACCCCATCTCACCTCACCTCACCTCACCTCACCTCACCTCACCTCACCTCACCTCACCTCACCTCACCTCACCTCAGGGCGGTCGGGTAGCCTAGTGGTTAAAGCGTTCGCTCGTCACGCCGAAGACCCGGGTTCGATTCCCGACATGGGTACAATGTGTGAAGCCCATTTCTGGTGTCCCCCGCCGTGATATTGCTGGAATATTACTAAAAGCGGCATAAAACCATACTCACTCACCTCACCTCACCTCACCTCACCTCACCTCACCTCACCTCACCTCACCTCACCTCACCTCACCTCACCTCACCTCACCTCACCTCACCTCACCTCTATATGATTGTGTTAGATAAAATAAATAACTGATCCATGTGGAGTGAACACTCCATGTAGGTGCTTGTGTACTTGCAAACAGGGACCACATTCCTAATGTCCATTGACCATCAGGTCAACCTGATCGCAATGTTGGCATTTAATATGATATATAACAAATACAAACTGCTGTGGCAGATGCCATTGGTCATGTCCAACAAGTAACACCTATGAAGATCCGGGTAATAATGGTTGCCGTAAAAGGCAACTATGATTGTCGTAAGAGGTGTCTATGCTTGACGTAAGAGGCGACTAACAGGATCTGGTGGTCAGGCATGCTGACTTGGTTGATGCATGTCATCGTACCCCAATTGCGTAGATCGATGCTCATGATGTCAATCACAAGATTGTCTGGTCCAGACTGGATTATTTACAGACTGCCGTCATATAGCTGGAATACTGCTGAGTGTGGCGTTAAACAACAAACAAACCAAACTATAGCCCATTCAGGACTAGTAGTTTTTGTAAGATAACTCGCTTTGGGGGATAAAGTAGTCCCCAAAGGTTTTCATTAGGCTCGGACACACAGACTGTGGTCATGTCTAACCCTGAGGTGTATTCAACCTTGTATTCAAAACTGCAGTGCCATCAGAAATGATCAGTAGTGGAGTTTATGGAGTCTGTGAGGATGGTCCAAGTTATCCTGATTAGTTTCTTGTTTAGCTGAAGGGGGGATGTGGTGCAGTGGTCTGTAGTGGGCAGGCAGGCAGGCCATCTCTAACGTCGTATTTCTTTTACAGATAATGGGAATCCAGATAAAATGCTTCCACGAAATCATCAACATTGGCTATGTGGTGTACAAGTCCTATGAGTTGCCATGGTTTCGTACGCTCAGTTGGTACTTCCTGTTTGCTTCCAACTACTTCTTCTATGGCGAGAGTCTGATTGAGTACTTCGGAGTCCTCCTGTCGAGAACTGTAAGTTGCAGAAACTGTTGTTCCATCTTTAACCAAATCAGAAAATATTTGATAAACTGTTAACCAAGTGGAACTTCAGCTAACAAGAATGTAACTTATGACAAGAGGCCCACATTGTGATAGTCAAATGTTTGTTATTTAAAAGTATTTGGTTTATTTGGACAGGAATTCCTGAGTGCGTTTGTGACGTACCATCGGTTCATCTCATTCTCCCTGTATGTCGCCGGGTTTGTTGGCTTCGTCTTCAGTCTCGTCAAGAAACACTACCTCAAGCAGTTCACACTGGTGAGTATGGGAGGGAAATGGATGTGCAGTGTTGTATTTCGGTGTCACATTGTAACCGCCAATCTTGTACATCCCTGCACAAATTTGATTGAATTGCAAATTTTGGGCATGTATGATTATGTGATGTTGAAAGCTCCTCTAATTGGTTAGATCCAATACTTGAAATATACTTCTCAAAAGAAGTTGAAGAATGCCTGATTACGGATATAACTAACACGGATAGAGCGAACAAACGGATACAACAAACTGTTAAAAAATCCCCGATTTATCTCCTACATAATATCATATAAAATTTATCTATATAACGAACTCTCTACAGCGAACTAACGGATACAGAGAACTGATATCTGATCACCGACAAGCCCTTCTATCACTAATTAGTGATGTGTATAGCAAACTGAGAAATCTTACTCAGTGTCAAGTGTCACTGACAATTGGCTGTACGCAATCAGCGGCGAATCAACACAATCAGCGCTGATGGATCAACCTTGTTATACTTATATGAATGTTATGAAATGTTATCAATTGAATGCTATGAAGTGAACGCTGCTAATACAAGTCAATGCTGCAGTTACGTGTATTGTGTTTTGTTTTATCCAAGATGGCGGAAGTTTCTGAGCAAAAACGGATATAACGAACTGATTTCTCCGGTCCCTTGTAGTTCGTTATATCCATGTTTTACTGTATTACTATTGTTAATGGCCCAGTCAGGTGACTATCAATGACCACAGTTATGGATAGGTCAATGTCGTGTGTTTGTTGTTGTTTCAGTTCGGCTGGACCCACGTGACGCTGCTGATTGTAGTCACCCAGTCCCACCTCATCATCCAGAACGTATTTGAAGGCCTTGTATGGTAGGTGCACACTGTTGTCCCCATGGGAACTTTGGCTTACCATTAGTCCCAAGCAGCCATTGCTGGTATATGAGGTGACTTAAAGGATCAATTCGTCAGGCTTGGTGGTTGTTTAATGTGTTTGTGCATAATATCTCTGTCTAACATCGTATAGTAGTTCCGTAGTGTCCTTGTCCGTTTAACAACTTGGAATGTTCAAGGACAATATGTAACTACCATACAATGTTAGACTGACAAGGATAGTGTCCTTGTTTAACATTGTCAGTTTAATCTTGAAATGTCGAGTCTGGGGCGGTCAGGTCCTGTAGCGTATTTGATTGCCTGTCATTGTATCCCAAAATTGTGGATCATTGCTTGTAATATCAATCACTGGATTGTTTTCATTACTAATGGGTGGGGGTGGGGGCAATCATTGCTCATGCTTGTGCTCATGCTCATGCTCGTGATATCAATCACTGGATATTGTCGTCTAAGGCGCCGCGATTCGCTGTGCAGAGTTGCGTCACTTGGGCACGCCAGAAACCTATTATTGTGGGTTTAAATCCCGGTTCGCCCCAATTATGTTTCTAGGTTTGTCAGCACCATAACCGTGCTTGTAGGTTTCACCGAAGGGGTTAATGTCTGAGACCTGCATCATTTCAGGCTTTCCTCCCGCATTAAGCTGACACGCAGTAATATAATTGGAATAATGTTAAAAGCGGTGTTAAACCCAACTCACACACTCACTCATTACTTACAAGGTGCCATCATATACAGTAACAAACTGACAATATAACAAATATATTTTTTAGTCCTGCCCATTTGCTGTATATATGCTGTTTATGTGCTAATAACGAGCTGAAATTTATGGTCCCTTTGAATTCGTTATGACCGTAGGGGGCACGGGTGGCCCAGTCGTCTAAGGCACCGCGATTCGCTGTGCAGAGTTGCGTCACTTGGGCACGCCAGAAACCTATGATTGTGGGTTTAAATCCCGGTTTGCCCCAATTATGTTTCTAGGTTTGTCAGCACCATAACCATGCTTGTAGGTTTCACCGAAGGGGTTAATGTCTGAGACCTGCATCACTTCGGGCTTTCCTCCCACATTAAGCTGACACGCAGTAATATAATTGGAATAATGTTAAAAGCGGTGTTAAACCCAACTCACACACTCACTCATTACTTACAAGGTGCCATCATATACAGTAACAAACTGACAATATAACAAATATATTTTTTAGTCCTGCCCATTTGCTGTATATATGCTGTTTATGTGCTAACAACGAGCTAAAATTTGTGGTCCCTTTGAATTCGTTATGACCATAGGGGGCACGGGTGGCCCAGTCGTCTAAGGCGCCGCGATTCGCTGTGCAGAGTTGCGTCCCTTGGGCACGCCAGAAATCTATGATTGTGGGTTCGAATTCCGGTTCGCCCCAATTATGTTTCTAGGTTTGTCAGCACCATACCCGTGCCCGTGGGTTTCACCGAAGTGGTTTATGTCTGTGACCTGCATCACTTGGGGCTTTCCTCCCACATTAAGCTGACACGCCGCGATATAACTGGAATACTGTTAAAAGCGGCGTTAAACCAAACTGACTCACTCACTCACGTTATGACCATAGTTTACTGTAGCTGGTATATTGCTGAGTGACATGTTAATAATTGTTAACTATTAATTGTTGTGTTTTTGACGTGACTTTATGCTTGTACTGCTTTCTCCCTAGGCTGCTCGTCCCTGTGTCGATGATCATCTGCAACGATATCATGGCCTACATGTTCGGGTTTTTCTTTGGAAAAACTCCTCTCATTAAACTGTCGCCCAAGAAGACATGGGAGGGCTTCATAGGTGGCGCTCTCTCCACCATCATTTTCGGCATCATTGTGAGTGTTTGCGCACAAGTTATAGCATATTGAAAATGATTAGGAGTGTGTGTGGCAGTCTCATTGGTTGAACAACGGGATTCAGTGGGATTCATAGTGTTTTACTTGCATTACTGGTTATTATGGGCTGTAGTGATACTGTTATGCAGACAGATTTAGCGTTTTATTTCGTAAGGTGGTTGAGAGGAAATAGCAGACCGTGTTTATGGCACAAATGACATATTTCTGAATAAAGTAGAATGCAAGCTGAGATGTGAGATTTGACCAACAATACTTATTTAGAGAATGTTTTGTATGACACTAGTCAATCCGAGTAGTATCGATGTCCGCTTTTGATGGTTTACTTTTCTGTGATTTATTGCCATCGGGTCACAGTTTCACAACACAATTCAGTCAAACATTCACACTAATATTAAGGACACCGCATGTGTGTTGATCATGTTCATGACCAAAGTTCCTTCACTCCAGTTGTCATATGGACTGGTGCAGTTTGACTTCTTCGTGTGCCCCATCCACTACGACGATGTGAAGGGGGCGCTGTCGATGGAGTGCGAGAGGAATCCTGTCTTCAGGGTCACCGAGTACAACCTGCCAGAAACCATCCAAGGACTCTTTGCACTGGTAGGGCCAAGATGTCTCAATGTTCCGCTTTCATTTTCAATAGTGAGAGAGTGGCTGAGTTGGGTTTAACGCCGCTTTTAACATTATTATCCCCCACCCCAACAAGGTTGGCGGGGGCAATTGAAGTGGGTTCCACCCGCCGTCCGTGTATGTGTGTGTGTGTGCATAACTAAGAAACCATTAAATATTTCTCTACGAAACTTTGCATGTCTATCAGACTCATGCTGAACTGGTGCCTTTTGCTATTTAGGAATTGTAAAAAAAAAAAAATTTATGTTTCCATGGCAACAAGTTGGACTTAGGTTCAGGGTAGAGTTTGGTTCCAGAGCATAACTCAAACCCCTTTCAATACTTTCTAACAAAACTTTGCATGTTTACCAGGCACATACTGAACTGGTGCCTTTTGATATTTAGCACTTTATTTTTACGTTTCCATGGCAACAAGTTGGATTTAAGTTTTGATATAGGGTGGGTCCACATATTGAGTATAACAAATAAACTGTTAAATATTTCCTTGCCAAAGATTGCATGTCTGTATATAAAGCACATACTGAACTGGTGCCATTTGCTATTAAGGAGTTTTAGAAATGTTTATTTTAGAATTTCCATTGCAGCTATTTTGACATGGGCTAAAAGAAATGGTGGGTCAGTTACCTGGTTTGGGACCATAACGTGTTAAGATGGGCTGGGGATACAGATGACTTCGTCGATTATAGGCTTGTTCCAGTTATATTGTGGGAGGAAAGCCAGAAGTGATGGAGGGTCTCAGACAGTCTCAGACGGTGAACCTACGAGCAAGGGTATGGTGCTGACAAATCTAGAAACATAATTGGGGCGAACTGGGATATGAACCCGGAATCCTAGGTTTTTGACGTGCCAAAGGGACGTAACTCTGCACAGCAAATCGCAGCGCCTTAGACGACTGGGCCACCAATGCCCCCCCATTTTCAAATGTAAATAATCGAGTGTGGACCAGGCAATCCAGTGATTAATATTATGAGCATCCATCCACACAATTGGGATCGATGACATGCATCAACCAAGTCAGCGAGCCTGACCAACCCAATCCCGTTAGTCACCTTTTACGACAAGGATAGTCACCTTTTACGGCAAGCATGGGTAGCTGAAGACCTATTCTACCCCGGAATCTTCACGGGGTCGCCTAGCCTCGTGGTTAAAGTGTTCATTTGTCATGCCGAAGTCCCGGGTTTGATTCCCGACATGGGTACAATGTGTGAAGCCCATTTCTGGTGTCCCCCCAGCTGTGATATTGCTAGAATATTGCTAAAAGCGGAGTAAGACCGTGCTCACTCACTCATTATTTTACAAGTGTACACCTTACACTTATTCACAGGTGGTTCAGTCGTGTAAAGTGCAGCATTCCACTGGGTACAGTTTCTTCCCTTGGGCAAGCCAGAATTTTAAGATCGAGGGTAGAATCCCATTTCGCATCGATTATGTTTCTAGGTTTGTCAGCACCATGCCTGTGCTTGTGGTTCTCACTAAAGTGGTAAATGTCTAAGACCTGCATCACTTTGGGCTTTCCTCCCACATTAACCAAACACGTGTGATAGAACTGTAATACTGTTCAAAGCGGCATTAAACCCAACTCACTCACTCCTTACATGAGGCTTGCACATTGACAGTTGCCAGATGCCAGGCTTGTGTAAATGTATTGAAGCAATACTAGACATCAGAAGAAAAATACTGGTCTATCTGATATAGAAGAATCGTGTAATGTACACAGTGGGATATCCCATAATTATTACTGCTTCCGTAGTTAGCATTGACTTCAGTGAGACCTCTGTATAAGACCGGTGTTATGTTTGCAATCTCAATGAAGAAATGCCCAGCTCTTTGGTCAGGCGACATTTGGTACCTGAGTACCTATGGTGGAAGAAACTTCTGGCATCTGAGGCCATACATTTAGATCTCAATTTAATTCCACATTCCGTTGTCTCAAGAGGAGCGGGGGGCACGGGTGGCCCAGTCGTCTAAGGCACCGCGATTCGCTGTGCAGAGTTGCGTCCCTTGGACACGCCAGAAACCTATGATTGTGGGTTCGAATCCTGGTTCGCTCCAATTATGTTTCTAGGTTTGTCGGCACCATACCTGTGCTCGTGGGTTTCACCGAAGTGGTAAACGTCTGAGACCTGCATCACTTCGGGCTTTCCTCCCACATTAAGCTGACACGCCACGATATAACTGGAATACTGTTAAAAGCGGCGTTAAACCCAACTCACTCACTCAAGAGGAGTGGGAAGACTGAGATGTGTGTTGTAAAACTCCGTGTTTTCTCCTGTAAATGGTACGATGGGATCGTGTGGTCAGGCTCACTGACTTGGTTGATGCATGTTATCATATCCCGGATCGATGCTCACGATGTCAATCACTGGATTGTCTGGTCCAGACTTGATTATTTATAGACCACTGTCATATAGCTGGAATATTGCTGAGTGTGGGGTTAAACAACAAACAAATAAATTTATCTAAGATATCCCATTATTTCCAGTAGTTTACTTTTCTGTCCATGAAACATTGCTTCGTGCAACAGATCTTAAGATGTATTCTGAAGTATATTGTGAGAGCTGAGAATGGAAATCAAGTGGTCACTGATCAACTGACGGGGGTAATAATAATATCACGCCCTGTGCATTCACTTGAGTGGACTTGTTGTTTTTGTTGTTGTTGTTGCTATTATTATAAGTAAGACTGTAATATACTTTGAAGGCACGGATCCCATGGTCCAGCATCAAGATCTACCCCTTCATCCTCCATTCCACTGCACTTTCCATGTTCGCCTCCGTCATCGGGCCTTTCGGGGGATTCTTTGCCAGCGGCTTTAAGAGGGCTTTCAAAATCAAGGTGAGACATAGCAAATTTTGAAACATAACAAACTGTCCTTGCTGCTGCTGATTTGATTTTATCATAACAATAACCATGTATTTATCTATGACTCTTAACAGGTGCCCTTGGCAGGCAAATTTGGGGGAAATCATAATTTTGCTCAAAATTGGGGTTTTGGGGTGAATTGCTCTATTTGTTGTCATTCTGAAGTATTTTAACAATGAACTTTCATATTGTATTCAATGAAATAATGTTAGCCCTTGGTTTTGGATTCCTGGTTAGAATTGGTTGCCAACGACCTATTCATGTTGTAAGATCTAGTGTGCAGGCAGGCAGGCAGGCAGGCAGGCAGGACCAGCATCAGTTTCTTGTGGACTACCGGTACCATGTTTGCCATTAGGTAGATGAATCTCTTTTGTAGATGATATTTGCTGATTAGTTAAAATAAAAATTATTTTCTAACCCTGTAATTTCAGAAACTTAACATAAATGTTTGTGTCTGACTTGAAATGTTTACTGAGTATTTACTTTCTGCAGGACTTTGGTGACACGATCCCTGGTCATGGCGGCATCATGGACAGGTTCGACTGTCAGTTCCTTATGGCTACATTTGTTCACGTCTACCACTTCAGTTTTATCAGGTGAGTGGTCCTGGTCTGGTGTTAGATGTTGAGTTCTCCTTCACTGTCCATGTGGGGACACGAGGCGACAATTTGTTTGTTTGTTTGTTTGTTTATTTGTTATTGTTTAACACCGCACTCAGCAATATTCCAGCTATATGACAAATAATCAAATAATCTGTAAATAATCAAGTCTGGATCAGACTTTCCAGTGACTGACATCATGAGCATCGATCCACGCAATTGGGATACGATGACATGTATCAACTAAGTCACTGACCACCCGTCCCTTTAGTCGCCTCTTACGACAAGCAAAGTCGTCTTTTATGGCAGGCATGGGTTGCTGAAGACGTATTCTACCCCGGATCTTCACGGGTCTATGCGGGTCGTCAGAAGAGGGGACTTTGTGGATCTGGTGGTCAGCTCAGTTGATAACGTGTAATCATATCCATTGCTAGTAATATTAATCACTTTCATTGTCTGGTCCAGACTTGATTATTTAAAGGCACTCATCAGGTAGCTGGAATATTGCTGAGCATGCTGAGTGCAGTGTTAAACAACAAGGGAACATAATCTTATACACAATGAGTCCTACACATGCTGAGAGGGGACGAGGTGCTTTGCTGCAATTTTGTTGATGTTTTATCTGTTGTTTGAAATATTGGGTACATGTGTGTGAGTGATCAGGAGAGGAAGTGTTTGAAGGAGGGAGGGAGAGATGGCATGTTTATTTTGATGCTTTTATTCAGGTAATGAGGCCACCGGCCCATTATACACGTGCAGAGTATGATGGCATACAAATATGACAGAGCGCTGAATTATAAGATTTACAATGCAGTATTCAAACTGTTACTATTGGAGTTAATTATATGACACAGGTATTCCCTTGAAAATGGAATTACGTTTCTTAACAGCAAGAAATACATATTTTGCTAAATTGTTGCAAATACTTTGGTTAGTCAAGCTGAATAATAAGGACCTTTTCTCACGACTTGGAAACATGTGATAATAATTGGGTATGAGATTAGACCGCAGATCAAGACAGAACGGACACACCATACAAAAGTGGAACTCATCTTCGATAGCACTTACAACACAGAGGGGACAGAAACGTTCATGTCTTTGTATATTATGGTATCTGCCTGTTTCAACCATAAGACGATGATTGGATCCAAGAAAATTCAAGATATTAATTCGAAATAATGTTACATCAATTAATCGAATCCAGTTATATGAAAATTTATCCCTTACTGCAGAGAACAATTCAAGCTAAGAACAAGATTCACAATTATTGTGCAACACTTGATTTTCAATGTCTACGCTCTTTTGCCTAAACTGATGTAAGAATAAGTCAGATTTATAGTCAGCAATATTTTAAATATATTTCAGCCACTGACCTGTATCATGTTATACCTTCAACCACTGGTTTGACATGCACTGTTTCAATTGCTGCTCAATTTGTATACTGTGAGACTCTCATGTTAACAGAAATGGTCTGTGTGTGTGTGTCTGTCTGTCTTTGTCTGCCTGTGTGTCTGTGTGTCTTTATGTTTGTCTGTGTTTCTATGTCTGTGTCTCTGTCTCTATGTCTGTGTCTCTGTGTGTCTGTCTGTCTGTCTATCTCTGTGCGGTGTGTGTGTCTGTCTCTGTGTGTGTCTGTCTGTCTGTCCGTCTGTCTATCTCTGTCTGTCTGTCTGTCTGTGTGTCTGTCTGTCTGTCTGTGTCTGTTTGTGTTAATGCATGGTTACATTCCCAAGAGAGGTACCATGTGTGATGTTCGGTCTCTGTTTTCTCCATCTATTGATATTGAAAGACTATTGCTCAAAACAATATATATTCTCACTCACTCACTCACTGATTATTCCAGGCCTTGATACAGATGTGATGGAAGTGTCTGTGTTTCAGAATCCCTAACCCGCAGAAGTTGCTGCAGCATGTGTTGATGCTGAAGCCGCACGAGCAGCTGCAGGTGTTCAACTTGCTGCGGGATCGACTTGCGGAACGCGGAATCCTCAACGCCACACAGCTATTGTGATCCTAGCCTCACCATGTTGTTATTTATTGGTTCATAATATATACAAGTGTCTCATGAGTTGGATTTGGAGGAATTTACAAACACAACCTTTTTGTGAAGATTTATGTACTGGTAATTGATTTATATATCTTTAATAAATTGGATGATACGATTCTTGCGAAATGTAAATAAATGTCATCAAAATTCAATAAAGTTAGAAGAAAATATTAATTTAATCCAGTAAACATGATTTATCTGAGATTTAAATCCTCATGTAAGGTTGTAAGGATGCATCTGGGTGGTTTGTTCTGAGATCCCATCATTGAACACTTGTTTCATCAATCATAAAGTTTATTGTTGTTTTAGTATGGGATGAAAGTCGGTGAAAGAGTAGTTTTATGTGAAGAAAATTTATACAGAAATAGAATTTTTAACTAATGGTTGAAATCTCAATTGCAAACTGATGCTGTTTTCTTTCCTGAATTGTACATATTAGAAAATGTGGAAACAACTGGTTCTATTTCTGTATGAGTTAACGTATGTTAGATTTTATCACAACATGTCCATATTGAATGTTCTGGTATGGTTACGAGGGGGATTGTGTGTGGTGTTGTGACTGTCTAGGGAAATAGTAGCAGACAGGAGTAGATATGTGATTAATGTTGTAAAGGCAAAAGGCTTTCACACAGATAAATATTCTACTCAAAAGAAGTTAAAGAACATCTGTCTTATTCATATGACCATAGTTAATCTGTCATGGCCATGACATATTAACTATAGTCAGACGAATAAATTGGGTCTAACTTAACTTTTTTTGAGTAATATATGTAATATTTTCATAAATATCTACATAATGAATGCATGTATCACAAAGACAAATATCATGGCATTTATGATCTTCAAATATTGTTTGATTCCAACGAACAACTTTATTACACATTGTTGTGTATGTTGATTTTAGGGCAAGATAAAGTGATCAAATAATGGAACACATGGTCACTTGAACTATCACAAATAGGTCAGTGATTTTCTGTCAGATATGTGTTACCTTCAACCAAACCTACTACTTAGACTTATTGCTGTTATACCTTTGTAGTTTCCCAAGGAATGTGACATGTCTGGGGAATGTAGGGAAGCTCTTCATGTTGACGAGGCTATATTGTGATGGGGTCTGAGTTACTTCCCTTTGAATAAACTTCACACTGATAATATGGTGGGTTTGACGGTTAGTTTAAGATATTGCATTAATTAAATACAGGTGTAATACAAATTGTATCCTATTGACTTTGAAGGCATTCAGTATATCTTTGAGTGTTCGTGAAGAAGATCATGTAAGCGACTAGTTTATTCGACTTGCAGGCAAACTGGGTTTTGTGTTTTCTTGTGTACTAGCTCCTCTCCATCTTCCAGAGGATAAATCCAGATGCAAATTAAAGTGATTTGTGACCTCGTGATAAGTAAACATGATTAGGAGGTCTGGGATTAAGGAAAGTTCTTTCTTCAGAACGCTACATGATTTGATCAGACCAAATACAAGCAGAGAAGAAAGATGTTATTATCCTTTGTTTTCACCCATTGTCCTGTTTAGTTATGCCTTTTGATCATTTAACAGCCATGCAGAAGTAGGTGGTATAAATTGTCAACAGTTGAAATGAAATATGATTTGTGATCATGGTGATTTGGCATTCAATATTTTCGTTCAGTTGGCAAGATATTTTACTTGAAAAAAACTACTTTGCTTTTTGACTGAGTTTTGGAGAGTTGTCCCCCTTGTTCAGTTTCATTATCTCCCTTTCTTAGCAGTCATGGGGAACAGTTACTGCCAGCTGTGTGGCAATTCTTCGAACTGTCAGAAGATAAAACAATAACTAAATGCCAATTTGCTCCATTCAAATCGCTTCTGAGGGTGGCACAACCTCTGCAAGGAGGAATCACCTGAGACTGAAATTTTCGGTTTGCCAGGGCTATGGTAAAAGAAATTCCCAATCAGACATTTTGTACCGGTATCTCTTGAGACCAACAGTGGGTACCCGGGTAGGGTCGGGTAATAGGGTTGTGTGTACCCGGGTAGTAAATTTGGACTTGTCCCAGCCCTAATTGGAAACTACTGCATCTTCTTCAACTGCTGGTGGCAAGACTACATCAGCTCTGCTTTGCATGGCTTTCTTAGAAATGTAGATTCTACTGGCTCTATAAAGTTGTATTTATTTCAAATTTGGTTTTAAAAGTTCTTATGTTGTATCATCTGTGAAGCAACAATATGTAACACAAAATAAAATAACTTTGATCTTTGAAAAATGTAAGGAGGAACAACCCACATTATTCATGATAATGTTTAAAGGTATATTACCATGTTTGAAATTCTACAAATTACATTTTCGGTGAATTGAGTATTTTTGGAAAAATCTTTTACCAGCTTTGAGAAGGTTTTATGCAACCTTGTTATTGACAAACACATATTGCTTATCACCTGAAAGTGTTAGGTGCTAAAATAGTAACAAGGCCAAATTAGGAGGGTAGATTTTTAAAGTTATCGGATTGATTGCAAGGCAAGGTTTATCAAACCAATATTTCAGTTTCAGAAGTCATAAAGACATATGTGATATTCTTCAATTACTGAGATTTTGAGAATGTTTTTCATAGAATTTCATTAAATATATGTACTTCCCGTTAAACCAAACTGTAATTCATGTAATTCATGTTTTCCCCAAGTCTTCTGATGTAACCATAGTAACCTGCTTGCCTCTTTCTGGCTCCATCCTGCATTCATCTGTCATCAAGTGCACATTTCAGTCATCTGAAGATTTCTTATTTTATGAGTAAAATTACAATTATTTTTTCTTGCGTTTTATTTTTATTGTTCACATATTCAGCTTTTACAAGTTTCTTATTGTCTAATGTGATACGATGCCAGCTGGGCTCTTGAGAGTCCCCAGTAGCGGCAAACCACAGCCCCCTCAGAGAATGGGGAAGGGTTGTTGGAAGGCAAATAGAATGTGAAAATGGAATTAAATATTGTGTGCTAGCTTGTAATTTTTTGGTCATCAGTATTCATCAACTTTTCATTACTGATAAAAAATGAAGCAAAGTATAATTTCAGACATTTTGGCCAAATTTGGGAAAATATTCCAAGCAGCAGAGGTCTATGCGCACAGGTATCAAAACTGATATCGTGACTGTTCTCGCAAAATTCCTAGCAATTGTAACTCTAATGTTGCCAACAATTGTAAATTGCCTCAGCTATGCCCCAGTTATACGCGGATTTGCAGTATCTGATACTATTATTTGATAATGATAACAATTATCTCAGTAATTTGTCGTGATCCTGGTCTAGACTTAATAGCCAATAGACAAGCACACTGTCATGTTTGTTTGTAAACAAGGAAAGTAGTACCTACCTGACCTTTCTTATTTGCATATTTATCCTTAAATGATCCCAATAAATACTGTTTTTATTTGTTGGCTGTATCCTGCCAAGAAATCTACCCATTTTATAAGACAGGATATGTATATATAAAAGAATTATGAATATGCAACTGACTCACTTGATGAAACATTTAATCTTTCTCCATGGTTACTGATGCAGTTGCAGGATGCCAGTGAGTGACTTCATCAGACCCAGGCAACAATAAAGAAGCATTGGTTCAAGGCAACCCAAGATGCTCATGCTATCAACCACTGGTTTATCACCATTATATACAGGCTTCTGTGTAAAACTTGACTTACTCTCCGATGTCAGTACCAGAATTTGTATGAATAGGTCTTCAGTAACAAGGATAGCACAGCAAATTTTACCTCATTTTTTTTTATCATAGTACTGGCCTAGTTTGAGGAAACGGCAGTGAGAGTGGTGCTCTTGACTAGGAAGTAGTTACCTCAACTAAACAGCGGGACACATGCATTATACCGGACACCTATCCGCCATGTTTGTTTGATGCTTCTAATAAAGCCACATGCAACAGCATCACTTTTTGAAAAATAGGGCGATAAAGCTCAAAATAAGCAGAAAATGGCCCTGCTTGTATTTGTATGGTTTAATATGATTAAACCTTAGAATTGAATATCAAAGCTATGCATAAACGTCAAAAATTGGACATCAACATCGAAAAAGCACTTGAAAATAGAAGTTCAATCATGGCGTGCGATAACCTTATCAGTCACATCCCTGGAGCGAACACGTTATAGTTTGTATCTACTTTGGTAATTAAACATTTCATTTACTTACGAAAGCATTTAATTCAGGCCGTTGAGTAGGGGCCAAGCTCCCCAAACCCCTTGTTATCTAACAAGGGGACAAAATGGCATCTAAAAAAACGTTACTAAGGAATGAGCTCATGCACATCCCTTACCAAAATGGCGGAAGGTGTCCGGTATACTGCATTCTTCCCGAAACAGCCGTTTTTGTGCCCAGATGAAAATATCACTTAATCAAGTTTCATCAATGTAAAACAATGACCATTAAACACTACCCACTTAACCAGCCAGCTATTTGGTAGTGATGGCAACAGGGGAGATAACAATGTGAGAGAGAAATCACTGCCATTTTGTCATTCAATTTCGAAGGGAATCATCATTTGTGAATGCACATCTGTGTATATTTTAGGTTAAATTATACAAGTAATAACAAAACATGTTATATATTCATGAAAACACAATTCTCTTATTGATATAATCCGAACATCTACCATATTTGCTGTGTAAAGCGCCCTGCTCCAAAAAGCGCCACCAGACCAAGTTCTAGAGGAAAGTACTAATTCGACGTAATAAGCGCCCCGCTCTAATAAGCGCCCACGGCGATATTTGCTAATATATTGGCTAGGGAACAATCCCAGTTAGCACCCCTTCTGATTAATCAAGGTGCACAAGACTTATTTATTCGCGTATGATACGCACTCGTGTGTTATATGCAACTTGGCAATTAAATTCTGAAAAAATATATCTGTCATACATGAACATGAAATTTGTCTTTCAACTCTGTGTTTTTCCACCAAAATAATATTCTAATTAGAGCCCCCTATTTCTAATTTTGAGAGCGCCCTGGGCGCTTATTGCGTCGAATACAGTATATCTTTTGAGGGCCCTTACTAAGATCCAAGTTGTACCTGACATTCTGTATTTCTTGTTTGTATTACAGAACACAGTAGTGTAGAAGGGGTGTTCATGTGTCTTGTAACTGGTATCAGAACATTTTGAAAATAGTTTCATCGACATTTCATCTAAGCTTGTTCACTTCTGCTCTATCTATGAAAACAAACTTAGGCTGTGTATGGTTCGTCAATTGTCTTGGCTCTTAATACGGCAAATATGGTTGATGTTGGTTGTAAGTACCCTTCACTGCCGTGCAGTGTGTTAATGTACATGACTATTCTGAATAATGTACTTACTTGTCAATATGGGTCCACAAAAACAGCTTTTACTTGTAAAGGGAACAGTTTTGATAATCAGCTTTTAAGAACTATTTGTGTACTATTTATTTTCATTTGATTTATATGAATTGCACCCCTTCCCACTATTCTTTGGTGGGTTCGAATCCCGGTTCGCCCCGGTTATGTTTCTAGGTTTGTCAGCACCATACCCATTCTCGTGGGTTTCACCGAAGTGGTAAACATCTGAGACCTGCATCACTTCGGGCTCTCCTCCCACATTAAGCTGACACACCGTGATATAGCTGGAATACTGTTAAAAGCAGGGTTAAACCCAACTCACTCACTCACTCACTATTCTTTGATTTATTCATTTTTGTGTGTATTTGATGTTGATTAAAGCTTTCTTTTGGTGTTTTCTCTAACCACATATTTTCCATCTATTGATAGTTTTCTTATTTGCAAAACATTCAGAGCAGTTGTCATGTTTGTAGACCTATCCATTTCGTCAAGCCCAATCACTAGCACATTTAAACCAAAACAGCTAAGTGAGCATAATTATGAACATTAATGAAGACAGTCACTATACAACATCATACAGGTAAATATGGATTGTTTCTTCAGCTGAAGGGGGCAGTGGGGTAGCCTAGTAGCATTCACTTGTCGCGCCGAAGGCCCGGGTTTGATTCTTAGCATGGGTATAATGTGTGAAGCCCATTTTTGGTGTCCCCTGTTGTTGTATTGCAGGAATATTACTAAAAGGGTCGTAAAACTATACTCCCTCACTCACTCTGATGAATGTATGGGTTCTGTGTACGATTGGCTGTCATCATTTTTGGGTTTGGATGCCAGTAGTCAAGGCTTCAGTGAGAATAGGACACATGTGACTGCGGGGTCTCCCACATTAAGTCCTGTATTTGGTGTAGATCTATAACTCAAACATTCAATGTCAAATTCTGGTAGGTTTTTTGGGGGGGTTGTTTTGTGGTTCATATTTTTATTTTCTGGAGGTAATGGTATGTCTAACGGGTATAATTGAAGGTCACTTGTATGCGCCTGTGATGAATGTTTCACTGATATATCGGTTTGGTTTTGTGGAGGATGCTAATTTTCCCCTTTATTTCATGTCTACGTGAATGACAGTACTGTCACAGGGTCCATCCTTGGACAGGGCTGTGAAATGTTGATAGTGTCTGAGTGAACACAGAATATCTATATACCAGTGTTGGAGGCTGACATTTGTTTGCTCACTGATGTTTTATGACTTTGTTGCAAACCTTTTTTCACTTTTATATGAGTTTTCCAATGATGCTGTTACCACAGAGTTTTAATTTTGTTTTATGATGCAATTCTGGGATGTTTGTAATGAGATGTAAACTGTTTTAATGATTTTAATTCTGTTGAATCCATGGTTCTGAGTCTGACGTGAGATGGCTACATTGGACAAATGGATTTATTTGTTAAGGAGATTTTGTGGGTGAAGTCTGAATGTTACTAAATAGGAAATAAGTTGTTGATACACATAAGATAGTGTGACTTAAGTACAAATAAACTGCCAACATCTTCTAGTCATAATCCAAAGCTCATGTAATAGATGCCGATGACTTAATTTGTCTCGAATATGTGATTAGTTTTTGTGATTGTCATGTAGGGAAAAATTGCAATTGTTTGTGGGCATGTCAAGCGAATCATGATTATTATCTTTAAAGATTTTATGATTGACTGCTGACTATCTAAGACAACAGGTTAAAGGTCATGCTGACATGAATGTTTAAATATTCAATCATTGTTTGGTGATGTTTAGGGTAGATTAGTTTCATTGTTCTGTGTGATGATTGTGTTGTTCCTGTTTCAGTGGGCATATTGTACAGGTTGTGTCTGTTATTGTGCTGTGCTATACATGTACAATGTATTGTAGGAGCCTAAGTGTTATAAAGTGTTATCAAATGGGTGATACTAGTACTGGTAATTTTCTTTCTTAATATTTATCCATCTGCGGGGTCAATTAACATATGGATTAAACATGAGCAAAACTGCCACACTTTTCTCACAAAATGGACAAAAGTATCACTTTCTGGAAACTTTGCATACATATTTTCTGTGTGCATCACTTATGAGAATTGACCCTTGAAGATCCGGGGTAGAATAGATCTTCAGCAACCCATGCTTGCCGTAAAAAGTGACTATGCTTGTCGTAGGAGGCGACTAATGGGATCGGGTGGTCAGGCTCGCTGACTTGGTTGATGCATGCTTTTTGATGTCAATCACTGGACTGTCTGGTCCAGACTCAATTATTTACAGACCACGGTCATTTAGCTGGAATATTGCTGAGTGTGGCGTAAAACAACAAACAAACAAACAAAACAAAAACTTATGAGAATCTGTGGTTATGCAGCCTCCGACTTGGAGCTGTGTTTTATAGAAACCTATCTAATGTAGGTGCACTTTCGTAACAACAGTATAGGGTAGTCAGTCAGAATATTGCTCACAATGTCATTCACTGTATTGTCTGGTCCAGACAGGCTGCCATCATATAGCTGAGTCCAGAGTTAAACAACAAGCAAAATGAGAAGAACATAGCAGTAATTTTGAGATGTTTCTTCGTTCAAAACCTTCCATTACTTAAACATAAAATTCATGTTTCGATGGAGTGATCCCCAATTTTGTGCTTTCTTGAGAAATGATTGCTAGGCTTCCTAAAGATTGGCCATTATGTTTTATGCTGATCGTAATATTTATGCATAAAACCTATACAGCAAGTCATGCTTTGCTATGTTTTGTGAGTAAAATTAATGTGAACATTTTGCTCAGTTTTAATCAAAAGACAGAATTTCTTTTCTAGGTCTGTCTCCTCCATTTCTTTATAAGATAGCGAGTTTGCACTGTTACCATCTTGTTACTTTTGTAGTTTCCATTTAACAAGCACTCTATATTTCAAATAGTATACACCCATCATGGTAAAAATTCTCTGAATATTTATATGTCTAACCTCGGGAAACAATATACGCTTTAACAAATTTAAGAACTTTCCAATTTTACCAAAGAATTAACATACATCATGTCGAAAATTCAGCATATTTATTTTCTCAGATTTTTTTTCCAGCACTTTTGTGTATTTACATTCACTGATTGATGTTAACAGAGTCCATGGAGAAAGGAATTCTTATGTTGAAAAAACGGTAATATGATTGATAAGAATCTGTTTTCTACATACCTCAAATGTATGCTGGAACAATTAACCATAACGGTATTTTAAATGCATCCAAATTAAACAGTTTTAAAACTTGGTTGATGTCAGTTTCTTTTGTAACAACCGTTTACTACCTTTACGGTGGGACCAGCTGGTATGGCAGACAACCAGGTGTGTTTACTACCTGTACAGTGAGACCATCTCTTTAGATAGACAAGCAGATGTGTTTACTACCTGTACAGTGAGACCATCTCTTTAGACAGACAAGCAGGTGTGTTTACTACCTGTACAGTGAGACCATCTCTTTAGACAGACAAGCAGGTGTGTTTACTACCTGTACGGTGGGGTCAGCTGGGATGGCACACAAGCAGGTGTGTTTACAACCTGTATGGTGGGGTCAGCTGGGATGGCAGACAAGCAGGTGTGTTTACTACCTGTACGGTGGGACCATCTCTTTAGACAGACAAGCAGGTGTGTTTACTACCTGTACAGTGAGACCATCTCTTTAGATAGACAAGCAGATGTGTTTACTACCTGTATGGTGGGGTCAGCTGGGATGGCACACAAGCAGGTGTGTTAACTACCTGTACGGTGAAACCATCTCTTTAGACAGACAACCAGGTGTGTTTACTACCTGTACAGTGAGACCATCTCTTTAGATAGACAAGCAGATGTGTTTACTACCTGTACAGTGAGACCATCTCTTTAGATAGACAACCAGGTGTGTTTACTACCTGTACAGTGAGACCATCTCTTTAGACAGACAAGCAGATGTGTTTACTACCTGTATGGTGGGGTTAGCTGGGATGGCAGACAAGCAGATGTGTTTACTACCTGTACAGTGAGACCATCTCTTTAGACAGACAAGCAGGTGTGTTTACTACCTGTACAGTGAGACCATCTCTTTAGATAGACAAGCAGATGTGTTTACTACCTGTACAGTGAGACCATCTCTTTAGATAGACAACCAGGTGTGTTTACTACCTGTACAGTGAGACCATCTCTTTAGACAGACAAGCAGGTGTGTTTACTACCTGTACAGTGAGACCATCTCTTTAGATAGACAAGCAGATGTGTTTACTACCTGTACAGTGAGACCATCTCTTTAGATAGACAACCAGGTGTGTTTACTACCTGTACAGTGAGACCATCTCTTTAGACAGACAAGCAGATGTGTTTACTACCTGTATGGTGGGGTTAGCTGGGATGGCAGACAAGCAGATGTGTTTACTACCTGTACAGTGAGACCATCTCTTTAGACAGACAAGCAGGTGTGTTTACTACCTGTACAGTGAGACCATCTCTTTAGATAGACAAGCAGA